GGTAATACTTTAAAAATAAAGCATTCTGAAAAAAAGTAAAGCATTCTAACTAGGCTTTAAAAAAATTCTTAAAACGACTGACTCCTTCAGCACTACGTAAGTCATGGTTCAAAATTATAAGTACAACTTTATCACAGTAGTGTTTAAAGAATAGACCTAGAAGAATGTTTACACCAAGTGTCACCGGTATTGGTTGATTTTTCTATCAAGGATGCTTTAGGCAGAATATTGAATGATCTAGGAGGTATTAAAAGAAGATGGAAGGAATATACTGAGTCACTGTATCTAAAGGAATTGGCAGATACAGAAGAATTTCATGAAATAACATTTGAGCAAGAGCCTATGGTGATGAAGGAAGAAGTTCAAGCTGCTTTGAAGGAAATAGCAAAACATAAGGCCCCAGGAATACATGGTATACCAATTGACATATTTCAGCTAACAAATGCTGCCCTAGATGTGCTCACCAAGTTGTGCCAAGAAATCTGGAGAACAACAACTTGACCAGCTGACTGTAAGAGATCTATATTTGTTCCCATTCCAAAGAAGGGTGACCCAGCTGAGTGCGGAAACTACAGAAAAATCTCATTGATTTCACATGCAAACAAGATTCTAATGAAGATTATCCAAAAATGAATGGAACAGTACATCAGCAGAGAACTGCCAGAAGTCCAGGCTGGGTTTAGAAGGGGTCGTGGTACCAGGGATATTGTAGCTGATGTTAGATGGATCTTAGCTGAAAGCAGAGAATACCAGAAGAATGTCTATCTGTGTTTCATTGATTATGCAAAGGCATTTGACTGCGTGGATCATAACAAACTCTGGCAAACTCTGAGAAGAATGGGAATCCCAGAACATTTAATTGTGCTAATACGAAACCTATACTTGGACCAAGAGGCAGTTGTCAGAACAGAGCAGGGTAACACTGCATGGTTCAGAATTGGGAAGGGTGTACACCAGGGTTATGTCCTGTCTCCATACCTTTTCAACCTGTATGCAGAGCAGATTATCCGGGAGGCTGGGCTCTGTGAGGAGAAATGTGGGGTCAGGATTGATGAAAGATCTATCAACAATCTGCTTTATGCAGATGACACAACCTGCTTGCCGAAACTGAGGAGGACCTGAAGCGCTTGCTGCAGAGGGTCAAGAACTACAGCCTCCAATATGGATTGAGGCTCAATGTCAAGAAGACAAAGATTCTCACCGCTGGACCAATTGGCAGCATCAGGATGGATGGTAAAGAGATTGAGATTGTTCACAGCTGCAGTTTGCTCGGCTCCATGGTCAACACTCTTGGCACCAGCAGCGAGGAAATTAAAAAAACGTATTGCGATGGGAAAATCTGCTGTTAGGGACCTCTCTAAAGTAATCAAGAGCAACGGTGTTTCTCTGGAGACTAAGGTGCGCCTGATACAGGCCATGGTCTTTGCAATCACTTGTTATGCATCAGAGAGTTGGACAATGACTAAGTAGGATAGAAGGAAATTGATGCCTTTGAGCTGTGGTGCTGGAGAATAGTATTGAATGTACCATGGACTGCCAAGAAAACAAACAGATTCATCCTGGAGAGGGTTAAACCAGGCTACTCCTTGGAGTCAAGGATTTTGGGGCTTCGTCTGACATACTTTGGACATGTTGTAAGGAGAGACAGGTCCTTGGAGAGGGACATCATGCTTGGTAGGGTGGAGGGACAGCGCAGGAGGGGAAGACCCTCTATGAGGTGGATTGATTCAGAGACTGGGGTAATCGGGATGGGTGTGCCACAGGCAGTGCGATTGGCACAGGATAGAGCAGGGTTTAGGGCTGTTGTACATAGGGTCGTTATGAGTTGCAAACGACTCGACGGCACATAACAACAACAACAACAATAGAATTAAAAAAATTTTTAGTCCTTCTACTTCTCAGTAATTTCCATGTTTACGATGAATATGTATATAGAACTCGTTAGAAATCTGTTCTGGATTGTTGTCCCTTCCGTATTAACTCCATGTTTTTAAGAAACCCATATATAGATAAATATCACACTTTTTGCTTAAAGACATTGAGGTTATTAGAGAAAAGGTTTTAGAAAGAAAGTAAACCAAAAGGGCAATTTAAAATAGCATAAATGTTGAAATATTCCAGAATTGTTACTTTTAAGTATGACTTCTTGAAAAGATACTTCATATTTGTAATCAAGACTGGGCCATTTTGGCTATAGAATGTCCAGTTGGCATGTACCATAGTTCTACAAAAAAACAGGTCTGCTGTATGTTTGAATCTAAAAGGTTTAAGTTTCACAGATTCTGTCCTTTTTCTCTCTGGACCTTGTTCCAAGTGACGTAAATCATCATTTTTATGCTGACAGCTCTAAGCTGTTCCCATCCTTATCTTTCCCCTAAGCACTCCTGTATTAGATGAGCCTTCTTTGTGGCAAGTGACAGAAACTCACTCAAGCCAGTGTAAGCACAGGGGTGAGGACGTGGCGAGATCTCCAGAGTGGACAAGAGCAAGGGCTAGGACACTGGTAGGGCTCCTTTTAACCTCTGGGCTCCACTGCTTTCTAGGCACCTGCCTCTTTAGACGTCAGTCTTCTTCTCCAGTACTTAGAGCAGAAAGCGTGACCTTGACGGTTTGGAATGTACCAAAGAAAGCAGTAAAATAAAAATCTAAATTTTCTCTCTGGTTCAGATTTCAGAGAGACTCTCTGCTTTAGCAAGGCAACTATGTAACTCTGGCCAGAATTTAAGAAAATCCAGATAAATCTAAGAGATACTGACCTTTCCAAAAAACCGGTCTCTTAATTGCTTGTCTTCTAATTGTTAGAAACAAGATAATAACACTGGATGGTAGAACTGTGAAGTAATGGATATTGTCTTGAAGCATTTTAAACATTTCCAAGAGTAGATAGAACCTGTGAAGTATTTGTTTTGTTAAAGAGGTTGACATTTATTCCTTTTCCCTCATATTACCATAAAAACAAGTCGTGTTAGGGTAATTTGCTAGCTTTTATTCCAAATGTACAAATCCAGAGTTTGACTGTAAGAGAAGCTTTTTTATCAATACAGTTTTGGTGGAGGAGCAAATGAAATTATTTCACAGCTCCCTTTGTCTTCTCCACACCAAGCTTAGAACTTTCTAACCAGATAAAATAAAGAGACAAAGTTGATTTTCATAGATTTTATATTAGCAGTCCTTGTGGCACAATGGTTAAGTGAAATGCTTTGCTACTAACCTGGTGGTTAGCACTCACATATATTGCAGAAAATACATATTTCAGTCAGAAAGAGAGATCATTCTACCTCTCTGAAGATTTATAGTGAATACCTTTTAAGACAGTTTCCATGTCCTGTAGAGTTACCGTTAATCAAAATCAATTCCATAGTTGATGTCAGCTGGAAACAGTATTTATAGACCAGAGAGCGAGGCATTGTTCCTAGCCAGAAATTCAGACGAAGCCAACAAAAGGGGGGGAGCTGAGAGTACTGCTTCCCCACTTTTGACTCAGACATTGGGGATCAGAGGAAACACCTGACGTTCTGTAGGTTTCTTTTGAAGGAAACGTAACTGTTTTGAAGGATTTGAAGGAGGATTTTTGTCTCCGTGGGGACATCTCTGGAGTGAGGAGAGCTCTCCTGAAGTGCTTCCTTCAGTTGTGGATTTGCTGAAACAGTGACGTCTCTAGAGCATGTCTGTGTATGTCTGTGTATGTATGCAGCGTCTTCTTTTCCTTGGAGGGACAAACTTTCAGTGCTTTTGGGATGTTGTAAGTCTCTTCCTTACCTCTTGTAGTGGCAATGGGAGGGTGGCACATTAGAGACATGATTTGTTTACCTTCTTTTCATTGCACACTTAGCCTTGGTGCTCCAGCTTTTTAAGCTAGAGTTTCTTTCAAGGGGTTCTTTTAAAGGTAGAAAATTATTCTTTACAACTTTGTAAATATTTTTCTCTTTTAATACTTTAAAAGTGTTACTTCAGAGACTTACCACTATAAAACTTGTTACTCAGACTAGTCAAAGATGTTCTGAGCCTATAGCTCATAGTATTGTTATGTGTTCATCTGGAAAGAATGTGACTGGGATTCTTCTGCACTTTTCTAAACTGGAGCAAATTACGTATTAGCCATGTTGTTTTGTGTTGTTTTTTTTTTTTAACAGAATGTTACATAATTATTTAAATCATAAATCTGAATTACATTACTAAAATACATTAACTGTTTTTTAAAATAACATAGTAATCATTTTATGTAAGGAAAACAATAAGAAAAAACAAAAGAAAAATTCCATTATGGATCTAAGAAATAAAGATTTTAACAGCAAAAAACCTAGAATATGTGAAGTCATGACTAAAAGTCACTTCTGTATTTTTCAGTTTTCTTATAGTAGTCTTCTCTTGCATCCCTGTAGGCCTATCAGAATGGTAAATATGGTTATCTTGCAACTCTTGTTATTTTTAACCTCAAATGTGAAGTAATGATAGAACTAGGAATTACAAGCCAAAATGAAAAGAAAAATGAATTTTTTCTTTTTCCTGGGAGACAATGACATTTGAAGGCAGATAAAGAATAAATTCTATGGGTAGAGTTAGTGAGTGCTAATGGAGCTTGAGGAAGCTCTGGTGGCCTAGTGATAAGGTGTTGCACTGTCACCTCACAGGCAGGAGGTTTGAATCTACCAGCTGCTCTGTGAAAGAAAGATGGGCAGTCTCCTTCCATACAGTTTACAAACCCACTGGAGGGTCACCTATCAGTCACTTCTGACTTGATGACACAACAATGGTAATAGAGTTTGATAGCCCTGTGGTCACTTGATAGAATATGCAGCCCCAAAGCTATTGATCCATATGGATACCAGTGCTGGATACAGAAAAGGCATCAGAGTGCACATATGACTTATTGGCCATCAGCGCTCCAGTTTTGCAAACATCTCCCACCACTACCACCAAAATCAGTTTAACTAAAAACCAGAACAACTTTGTTCTTGTGATAATATTTCTCTTAATTCAGACCTTGTTTCTTCTTTCAGAAAACTGAAGAATGGGAGAAAAATAAGACTGAAGCAGACATGGAGGAATATATTTGGAATAATAGTTCTTCAGAAAAAAATGCCTTGGAGACACTTCTTCAAATTAAAGCTGCTGATAAAAATATGAAAGTAAATAAAGAAGAGCTCCTTGGTACTAAAGAAGTTGAAGATTACAAAAAGTCTGTTGTCTGTCTTAAGAACGAAGGGGAAGATGAAAATACCATTTCTCAGTATAAAGAATCAGTGAAGAGACTATTGAATTTGTCATGAAGTGGAAAAATCAGCATGATTTCTTTTGTGATATGTATTTAAGTGCTAACCTAGCTTGATATAACATTAAAAGTATTAGAAAAAAAATAACTTGTTTATTATAAGAAGTTATCATCCTTTTCATTCTTTCTTGGGACAGTAGCAATAATTATTCAGAAATATTATTGGGCCTTTAGACTAGTCAGAAAGTCTGTCAAAAGTATTTTGATTTTATATCTACTGTAGGAAATTTTATATACATATATGACTACTATTTTTCCACTTGTTTTCTTTCTTTCCCTGTAAATCAGCATTTATTGTTTTGAGTAACCATCTTTATCTGGGAAGCTCTAGAGGCGTAGTTCGTAGGGAGTTGAGCTGGTAACCCAAAGGTGACACCTCTCTGGCTGTTCCAATCCCCACTTGGGAGAAAGATTAGCAGTCTCCTGCTGGAGAGTCGTTCTGACTCAGTGGCATTGAGCCTGAGTTTTACTTTTCCCCCATAAATTAACATTTACTGGTTAGTTTATTTAAAACTTTTTGAATTAAAAAAAGGGTGGGTTTTTTGTTTGTTTGTTTGTTTTTAGGAGGGGGAGTTTTATTTGGGAAGCAGAGGCCCAGGAATGGTGCTGGGGCCTGCTGCTGTTGCTCTTTTCTTTCACATAGTTGCGATCTCCTCATTCTGTTGTTTGTAGTTGCCATTTCTAGTTAGAAGTGGAGCCTCAGGGGGCCTTTCTAGCCTATTATGGTTCTTCCATCCTTCATTTTTAGAGTCACTTTATGTTGATGCTGCACATTTTAGCATTTTATTTTCTGGACTTTCTTTGATAAACTCAAATTTACAAAATACTGAGAGTTGAGATTAGCCTTATTTCTTCCTCTGGATGCCTCAAGTTACAGCTGAAAAAGAGAAACTTAGCAAGAGAAAAGCTATAAAGACCTTGGATTTAATTGGGGTTTGAGAAGGATGTAGAATAATTGGGGGAAATGAGAACACCTTAAGAAACATGCCATTTCATTTTGCTGTCAATTCTGTATTTTCCAGTATATCTCTTAAGTCAATTCTTAGTATTCCAAGGTTGTGAATAAGTGATTATATTTTAAATTGAAAGAAAATTTAAAGTACCAAATTGAAAAGAATCTTGAGAATTAATTTTCTTAACAGCACAGAGAAAGCCAAAGGAAATTTCAAAACAGTTGCAGAAAAGGCTGATGAAAATCAAGGATGAATTGGTGTCAGTAAGTCCAAAGGTCCATAGATTGTAAAGCCCAACAGTACAGCCCTCTGTATACTACAGGACAGAGGGGCTGTGCTGCATTCTGTTGGAAGGTGTGTTGTTATTGTTAGGTGCCGTCGAGTTGACTGCAACTACAGCAACCCTAACAACAGCAGATCCGAACTTTCCCATATCCTGCACTGTCATCACAGTATCTTGAGCCCATTGTTACACGAGGATCTTCCTCTCTTCCATCTACTTTTCCAAAATCATGTCTTTTTTCAAGGACTGACAACATGTCCAAACTATAGGACATGAAGTTTTACCATCTTTGCCTCCAAAGAGTATCCTGGCTGTATTTCTTCAAAGACAGATTTGTTTGTATTTTTGGCAGTTCATGGTATATTCAACACTCTTCCCTAACACAGTTTAAAGATACTGATCTCCTTCTGTCATCCTTATTCATTGTCCAACTTTCACATGCAAATGAAGCAATTGAAAAGACTATGGCTTAGATCAGGTACACCTTAGTTTGAAACTACTGTCCTAAAAAAAAAAACACAAAAAAACCCCTACTGTCCTTACTCTTTAGCACTTCAAAGAGGTTCCTGACAACCTACTTTTCCTAATGCAACATGTCTTTTGATTTCTTGACTTCTGGTATCAGGGGTGTTGACGGTGGATCCAAGTAAAATGAAATCCTTGATCATTTCATTCTTTTCTCCATATATCCTCAGTTGTGTATATGAGGAATTTTGTTTATTTGATGTTCAGCTGTATTCCATCTTGAAAGCTGTAGTTATTAATCTTGAGTAGATGCATGAAGTTGTCTTTACTTTCAGTGTGCAAGGTCTGTCATCTGCATAATGCAGGGTGCCAATGAGTATTCCTCTATCCCGAGACCATATTCTTCATGAAGTCCAGCCTCTCGAATGATTTGCTTAGCAGATTGAATAGGTATCTTTTCATGATCTTAAATCATGCAATATTCCCCGTGATGGGTTTTGGACAACTACTTTTTGTATAGGTTTTGCATGAGCACAATTCAGTGTTCTGGAGTTCCCATGTTCAGTGTTGTTATTTGTTAAAGTTCACATAGTCATACCTTCGCATAGTCAATAAAACACGAGTTATCATCTTTCTGGTATTCTCTCCTTTCAGCCAGCATCCATCTGACATCAGCAGTGACATCCCTTGTGCCATGGCCCCTTCTGAATCCAGCTTGAATATCTGGCAGTTTCCTGTTGGTGTATTATTCCAACCATTTTTGAATAATCTTTTAACAAAATTTTACTAGCATGTGATAGTAATGGTATTGCACAATAATTTCCACATTCTGATGGGTCTCTTTTTTGGACTGGGAACTAATTTGAAACTTTTCAGTCGGATATGTAACCATCTTCCAAGTTTCTTGGACTAGGCTAATGAGCATGTCCTGGGCTGTGTTTATTTGTTGAAATACCTTAACTGAGAGTCCATCAATTCCTTGGACCTTATTTTTGTCAGTTCTTTCAGTGTAGCTTGAACAATTTCTTTGCCACCATTGGTTCTTCCTGAAATCATATGCTACTTTCTGAAATGTTATATCAGCCGATTCTTTTTTTGTACAGTGACGATTCTTCCGTCTTCCTTTGATACTTCCTATATCATTCAAGATTTTGCCCATGAAATCCTTCAGTATTGCAACTTGATTTCATTTTGTTTTTCATTTCTTTTCATTTTAGAAACCCTTTTGGTTTTCTAACTCTAGTTCTTTGTATATTTTGTTATACAACTTTGTCTTTTTGAGATGCCCTTTGAAATCTTCTAGAAGGAATTGCAAATGAAAAACAGTAGATAAAAAGGAATTTTCAGATCCAGTCTAGTGCACCACCTTATAAAAACTTTAAAGTCTCCATATATATACAGACCCATATGGAGTTAAGGGAAAATTTAATGCAGAAACAAGATTTTTAAAGGAACTGTTTTGAAAACCAGAAGATTGTCTATTAGGAACCTGTGAAGAGTTGATACATCAAGGTGCTTCATGTGCAGGGGAAAGCAGATGGAGCTCTTTTAAGCTGCAGCCATTGCTCATTGGTACAATCTCAAAGCTCTAAGAATAACACAAAACTGTTCCAGAAAGATAATAAAAGTTATAATGATGTTAGCAGTAATTAAGCATCACAGTTTGCCCTTAATTAGACCCTTGGGTCTCTAAGTGGAACATGAGGTTTGTACTCAGTCCTAAAGGTTAATGGGTTTAAATAAGTGCTGCCAGTGGGAGTGCAGGAGAAGGGCCTAGCAATCGACTTCCATGAAGATCACAGTCACAGTAATGCTGTGGCCACTGCTCTGTAACATGGGATTGTCATGAGTCAGCATCAACATGATGGCAACAGGTTTATGTTTTTGCCTTTAAAAACTATTAACAATAATCCATACAGCAAAGTTTCTAAGGGATACTTTATAATGTACTGAAATAGTTTAAAGTTGAAATTAATATAGTGTGGAAATGAAACACAGCTAGTAGGAAATAAAGCAGTTAGTTTCCTTAGTTATAGGGACATGTCATGGATCTTCCTCTGGTGACCTAGTGGTAAGTAGCTGTGCTGCCATCCCAAAGACATGTGGTTCAAATCCACCAGCTGCTTCACAGGAGAATGATAAGAAGTCTCCTTCCTTGTAGTAAACTGTCTCTGAAAATCTGCTAGAGAGTTAGCTATGAGTCAGTTCCATCTTGACAGTACACAACAATAACCTCCCCAAGTACACATACGTAATGATATAATAGGAAAGCTTAGTGATGAACTGATAAACAAAACAATTGATTACCAAGAAAAAAAAAAAGGTAGGATGTAATACCTTTAATCCCATCCTGGCTTCTGTCTAATGTAAGAGTTTCCCTGTGTGTGGCTGCATCAACTTTTGTCTTAAAAGGAGAGAGAAGCCAGTAGGGAGGGCAGACTTCAGTCAACACCAAGAAAGACCGGAAGTAGAAATGTCCTTTGGACCCCAGTCCCTGTACTAGGGAGCTCTCCACTTTCTGACACTGGGTAAATTCAAACCACATAGAGATGTCCAAGGAATGCTGAGCCTACAAAGGCTGAGGGAAAGAAGACCTTCCCAGAACTGACAGAATACCCTCCCCCATAGATGACAACCTGCATTGGACTTCTGGCCTCCTAAATTGAGAGAGAATACATTTCTACTTGACAAAGACATCCACTTATAGTAGAGCAGCACTAGATAACTAAGGCAGGTGCTTTAGTAAGGATTTCTTTGCATATTTTCTTTCTAGTATTGGTGCTGGTATTTTCCAATAGGACAGTTCCTGAGTTGGCTTTTGTTTTTTTAAAGGGCTGCTAGTTGGAAGCAGGAGTGGCCTCCACTCCCTAAACAACATACCTCTGGAAACTATGAACTTTGAGAACTGACAATAGTTATAGAAGGGCTTCAGGCTTTTTGTTCATAGGGTCACTGTGAGTCGTGCTCAACTCAAAGGTAATCTGCAACAACAGTTGTAATGCTGGAGAGATTTCAGGATGAGATGGGTATGACACTTTGCCTTAGTTATTGCCTCTGTTCTCAGGTTTAAGTTTCTTACTTGGAAGTTTTGGTCCATGTGACTTCTAGCAAGGACATGAGTTCTACTTATGCTTGTTTTTCCCCTTGGCTGACCCTTTGCTCTACTTCTCCAGGCTGCATACTCAGCTTATCTGATGTTCAAAGGTACAGGCTGAAGAAGAGAGAGGAGTTTATTTTCCTACAAAGTTAAATTTGTCTTTCTCAAATGACAATCTTTTCTATGAAATCATATCAACTTTAGAGAATGAATACAATTCTGAGAAGCCAAAAAAGAAGTAAAAGCATTTTTTAGCAACTCTAACGTATAAAGTGACATTAAAACAATTCATGTCAACTCATTTAGAAGGCAAATAGCATAGGCAATACTTTATAAAAAAGAATGTACAAATAATTTTTAAAGACAACACCTTATTTAAAGACAGTTTTGTTGTTATGTGCTGTTGAGTCGCCTGCAACCCTATGTACAGCTCTGAGCCCTGCCCTGTCCAGAGCCTGTCTCACTAATTTTGACACACCTGACCCCATTTGCCCCAGTCACTGTATCAGTCCATCTCATCTGGAGTCTTCCTCTCCTGCACTGTCCACCCTTCCAAGCATGATGTCCTTCTCCAAGGACCAGTCTCTTCTGCCTATGTGCCCAACGTATGTGAAACAGAGCTTCAAAATCCTAGCCTCTGAGGAGAAACTTGATTTCACCCTCTCCAAGACAGACCTATTTGTTTTCTTGGCAGTCCATGGTATGTTCAAGACTCTTCTCCAGCACCACAATTCAAAGGCTTCGATTCTTCTGTCATCCTTAGTCATTGTCCAGCTCTCAGAAGCATTAGCAAGTAATTGTGAAGACCACGGCCTAGATTAGTAGCACCTTAGTCTCTAGATTAACATTGTTGCTTTTCAGAACTCTAGAGAGGTCCCTGACAGTAGATATTCCCAATGCAACTCCTCTTGATTTCGTGACTGCTAAGAGTGTTGATTGTGGAACCGAGCAACCTTTCATTGTTAACAACCTCAATCTCTTCATCTATTATGGTGCTGCCACTTGAACCATTGGTGAGAATCTTTGTCTTCTTGATGTTGAGCTTCAGTCCATATTCAGCCCTAGACCTTCTGCAGCAAGTGCTTCAGAACTTCTTCAGTTTCAGCAAACAAGATTGTGTCATCTGCATAACGTAGATTGTTTATGAGTCTTCCTCCAATCTTGATGCCACACTTCTCATAAAACTTTGCTTCCCGAATGATCTGTTCAGCATGTTGTTGTTGTTGTTGTGTGCCATCGAGTCGCCTGCGACTCATAGCAACCCTATGTACAACAGCCCTAAACTCCGCTCTGTCCTGTGCCAGTCGCCCTGTCTCTGACACTCCCATCCCAATTATCCCAGTCACTGAATCAATCCACCTCATAGAGGGCCTTCCTCTTCTGCGCCGTCCCTCCACCCTCCCAAGCATGATGTCCCTCTCTAAGGACGGGTCTCTCCTCACTACATGTCCAAAGTAAGTTAGACGGAGCCTCAGAATCCTTGCCTCCAAGGAGCCACCCGGTTTAACCCTCTCCAGGACAAATCTATTTGTTTTCCTAGCAGTCCATGGTATTCTCAATACTCTTCTCCAGCACCACAGCTCAAAGGCATCAGTTCCCCTTCTATCCTCCTTGGTCATTGACCAACTCTCTGATGCATAACAGGTGATTGCGAAGACCATGACCTGTATCAGACGCACCTTAGTCTCCAGAGAGACACCACTGCTCTTCAGCACTTTGGAGAGGTCCCTAACAGCAGATTTTCCCATGGCAATGTGCCTTTTAATTTCCTGGCTGCTGGTGCCAAGACTGTTGACTATGGAGCCAAGCAAACTAAAGCTGTGTACAATCTCAATCTCTTCACCATACATCCTGATGCTGCCAATTGGTCCAGTGGTGAGAATCTTTGTCTTCTTGACATTGAGCCTCAATCCATATTGTAGGCTGCAGTCCTTGACACTCTACAGCAGGCACTTCAGGTCCTCCTCAGTTTCAGCAAGCAGGTTTGTGTCATCCGCATAACGCAGATTGTTGATAAATCGTCCACCAATCCTGACCCCACATTTCTCCTCATAGAGCCCAGCCTCCCGGATAATCTGTTCTGCATATAGGTTGAAAAGGTATGGAGATAGGATGCATCCCTGGCATACGCCCTTCCCAATTTTGAACCATGCAGTGTTCCCTTGCTCTGTTCTGACTACTGCCTCCTGGTCCAAGTATAAGTTTCGCATTAGAACGATCAAGTGTTCTGGGATTCCCATTCTTCTCAGAGTCAGCCACAGTTTGTTATGATCTACACAGTCAAATGCCTTTGCATAGTCAATGAAACACAGATAGACATTCCTCTGGTATTCCCTGCTTTCAGCCAAGATCCATCTAACATCAGCTACAATATCTCTAGTACCACGACCTCTTCTGAAACCAGCCTGGACTTCTGGTAGTTCTCTGTTGATGTGCTGTTCCAGTCATTTTTGGATAATCTTCAGTAAAATCTTGCTTGCATGTGAAATCAGTGAAATTGTTCTGTAGTTTCCACATTCGGTTGGGTCGCCTTTCTTTGGGATAGGAACAAATATCGATCTCTTCCAGTCAGTTGGCCATGGACTGCAAGGAGAACAAAGAGGCTTATCCTAGAGAGGGTGAAACCAGGCCACTCTTTGGAGGCAAGGATTCTGAGGCTTCGTCTGACAAACTTTGGACATGTTTGGGCTGTTCAGCATAGAGATTGAAAAGATATGGAGACAGGATGCATCCCTGACATGCTCTTTCCTGATTTTGAACCATGCAGTGTTTCCCTGCTCTGTTCTGAAGACTGCTACCTGGTCCAAGTATAGGTTTTGCAAAAGCACTATCAAATGTTCTGGGAAGATAATTTTAGGATAATTTAAATCTTGACACTTTAAAGAGAATGTTGGGTTCTCTACCACCTAACATTTTGGGAGAGAAGTTGAATTCGTTTTAGATTTATACTTCAGGAAAACAGTGTACTATAAATAGAGTAAATCATTTCGCCCTGTGTTCAAATGTGAGTATATTTAGCAAAATAGTATTTGTAGGAGAAAAAAATGTTTTGGGGATGAGTAAGGGCCTAAAATTAGTATCATTGGAATATTGAGTTGCCATTTCCAACAACTCAAGTCTTTCAGATTTATGGGTTAAGTCTTTTGTAAAACATGGACAGATTTGAGGAGCTGAAATAATTGGAGCTGATATTTGTACAAGGAGCCATGGCTATACAATGGATATACCCTCAGTTGCTAACTGAAAGGTCAGTTGTTCAAAACCACCAGCTGTTCAGCAGGAGCAGATACCTGACAGTCTGCTGTAGTAAATATTGCCAGCCTAAGAAACCCTATAGAACAGCAGGTCTAGTCTGTCTGGTAGGGTCACTATGAGTTAGAATGAGGGCAAGCAGTATTTGCAACATGGGGAAATGATGTATACATGTGATGAATATTAACTAAAACTCCCAAGTTTTACTCAAAAGAAATCAACACAGAAAACCCCAAGTCCCACAATTATTGAAGGCATCTCAGTTTTAGAAAATGAAGGAGAGGGGTTAGGACTGAGAAAGAGGAATCACTGGGACGTAGAAGACTAGATAAAAGGAAGCATTTCCTAGGGCGTCAGTCACTGTGGGTTTTTGCACAAACAACTGTTGTTATATGTCGTTGAGTAAGAACCAACTCCTAGCTGACCCTGCAAGCGGGGTTTCCAAGGCTATAAGTGCACTGGAGAACTGCCCATCTTTCTCCTGTGGTGCTGCTGATAGAGTCAAGTACCGTGCCTTTATGTTGGCAGTGTAACTTCTTAACCATTAGGCCACCGGTGATCCCTGCGCAAGTAACTAGAAATCGTAAAAAAATGAAGACAATAATTAGAAACTGACTGGAAGATAATTCTGCAGATGGTATAGTGTTTCCTTCTCAATATTTTCATTCTTACTGGCTCTTGGTAAGACTTGACGCTACTGAACTAGTGTAAGTGGTGGTTTCAGATATGGACTTTGAACTAGCCTGTGTTTAAGTCCTAGATCCACTGTGTAACTTAGACAAATTACTTAAACTCTGTCTAATTTCCTCACCTTTCAAAATAAAGAATACTATAATGGTTAATCACAGGTTCCTAACTTATTTTTAAGTAGTTCATACATGTCAGGCTCTTAGAATTGCATCTCACATGGTGCTAAATAAGAACACTGGCAGAGGAAACACTACTCAGAAAATGGAAATCACTTAAAAGGTAGTTATGGTTACCAAGCACTCATTTTTAGAAATGAGTAGAAATAGGCGTCCTGTATTTTTTAAAAGTCAAGCTGTCCTAGTCTTACAGAAACTTAAAGGTGACACTCTCTCTACAACTTTAACTGATGAGACATCTCCTTCAGAATGGTGGATTTTTATAATTTGCCTGCATCCTGACTTTCTGTCCTGGTTTATACTGGCCCTGATGCTTTCGACAGTGTCCAGATATCAAGATGGCTATACAAAAGCAAAGAAAAATGACAGTGGAACAAAGTGCCACAGGAACCAGCCAAGTCTTTGAAACCATTCCATCAGGTGCTCCACCAGGCATCTCGTCTCCAGGCTCAGGCGTGTGGTTTCTGGGGTTGTACACCTTGGTTTTGTTTAGTAATTGTTTGCTACTGTTGAGTCGGGATGGAACAGGCACATGAGAGAGTTTTGTATCTGTGGGCACAAAGAAAGGAGAAATGGTCTTGTCATCTGGATTGTTGATGAAATCAGTCCTTGGTGACACCATAGTTACCTTTGTGGTTTTAGAGTCTTTCACAGAAATTAATCTTGCCCAAGGATCAGTGGCTAATTCCTTGGAATAACTGGCGTTGTTTGTACTTATAACCGAATCTTGATTTGTAGTCGAGGGTGGAACCTGTATTGACAGCAGCATTTGGTTTACCATGGTGGTATGTTGTTTATCTAAATTCACAGCCTTTATAATCTTTAGTCTGTCCCACTTATTAGATGAAGACCGAGTATTTAGATATTTGGGAGGTGATTCAAAGACCAGCAAATCAGGATCTATACCTGAAAGATAAAAACAGCATCATTTAAAAAAAAAATTTCTATTTTATTTCAAAGAGACCCTAAAACATTTTGAATAAGTCTTGGACTTCACCATTTTAAGTGATCAAACTAAGCTAATTTCAACTTCCATTGTTTCTGTGGGGTTGAAAATGTACTGATTCCTCTTGAATTCTTTTCGATGGCCTTGGGTGGCACAAATGGTTCGTAGTCATCTAAGACTTAAAGCTTGGAGGCTGAAATCTGCCCTTCAGCACTTAACAAGAAAAAGCTGGCATTTTACTTCCATGAAGGTCACAGTCAAGAAAACTTTATGAAACATGCTGACACACTGTGAAAACTGTAACCATTGTCACAGAACAATTAGCATAAACACTGTTAAATGGGAACCTAATCTGCTTTATAAACTTTCACCTGAAACAGTAAAATAATACAAACTAGAAACTATTCAGCATGTCAGCTCTCATCAGGTTAAGTTAGAGTGTACTTAATCGCAATCAGATTTGTTGTCGTTGCTTTTGCTAAGTCATTGTATGCTTCTGAGTCTTAATCTCTGGCTACAGATGACTTTTGTGCTTGAGTTGTGTTGCTAACTCAAAGGCAGGCAGTTCGAAAGGCACCAGCTGCTCCACAAGAAAAGATAGGCAGTCTCCCCCTGAGCGCTCTGCAGCCTCTGACAACCTGCCCCTGGCTCAGCTGTGTGTCTGTTCCAACTCTATGGCAGTGAGTAAGCAGAAGTGCATGTGAATGTGTTTTAGCTTTTTAGGACACTTTCTGTTACGAAGAAATTTGACAAAAACAAGGAGAGTGCTTTGTGTCTGTCAGGCCTTTTGAGCAGCAAGAGGAAATATTAGTGCAAGAGCTGAAGCTGTACTTGAGATATCAAGTAGTTTGTGGTGTGTGGGTTTGTTTTTTTTTTTTTTTAAGTTAAAAAAACCTAGGATTTGAGAAGTATAACTGTATTCAAAGTCATGAGTAAATGTCATCCTTTTTAAGTCCCTGAAAGTTCTCTGTCTTAGTATTTCCTATCTGCCTGCATATGAATTCTTTTCCCTCTGACTTCAAAGGTGCACCAATACCATACTGCTTTGTCTTTAAAAGGGAAGGAAAAAACCCCTCAACAGCTTAACAGTTTTCCAGCTCTCTCTGTTGCCAATGATACTGTTTCTCATTCTCTCCCTCTCCCTCCCACCTCTTCCCCCCCCAAACATACCATGTCAATCTCCTTTCTGATTATTTTGTCTTCCTTCTATAAGTTTGTTTCCAGCCTTACAACTTATCAAATTTATGCTTCTAAGATGGTGTCTAGTGCCCTAGTTTCTTGGTTGTTTATGGCCTTTGCTTGGTCTCCCTGCCCCCAGACACGCCCTGCACTGTCTCCCTGGTGCTCTTTCCCCCCTGATTCTACCGGATTCCCTTGCCACTTTACCCCTGACTCTCTTTTGCTGGTTTTCTTCTTACTCTAACCTTTAATTGTGGAATTTCTACAGTCCTTGTCCTTGGTCTTCTGCTATGTTTTTCCTTTCTATTCCCCCCCTCAAAGAGATTTTTCCTTACCAACTGTCACCACTACATGGATGGCATAAAAATCCTTGTTACCCTTCATCAAACTCAGGTAATTCCTCCGGTGGCCTACTAGAAGTCTCCCCAGCATCTCACATTACCTCTAATTCTAAATGCCCAAAGTCAAAGTCTTTTTTGTTTTGTTTTTTTGTCTGCTTCCTGCCTCTGTTCTTCTACCAACCATGCCGATTTTTCTTTCTCCTCGCTCCTTTAATTTATTCATCCACAGAATAGCTATAGAGAGAAAAAACAATTTAAACTCACTGCCATCTCATGGTTCCAACCCATAGCAACCCTCTGTCTGGTTTCCACAGCTGGAAATCTTAATGAGAAGAGATTTTTCGTCTTTCTCTCTCTCAGCAATGGGTAGATTTGAACTGCTGAAGATGCAGCCTCTTGGTTAGCAGCACAAGTACCCTTTGGGCTAGGCTACCAGGGTTCTTACAGGAGTAGCTGTGTCCTCTTCAATCTGCCCATTGTTTGGTAATCATCCATTTTCGCTGCAGTCACAGTCACCTTGGGCAAACTTACTGCCTCACTGCTTTCCAGTCTGTATACTGCATATATGTCCTAGACTGAAGTAACTAAACTAATGTAATTTTGAGTTTTACATTTTTCCATTAAATATTTTAGACAAAAATCAAATCAAAACTTGACATTACCCACTCCCTTTTGTTACGTGACCCTGTACTAATAATGAGCTGAAATGTGTCCTTTCTGTAGCAGACCAGGGCTTGGTGTAGCATTCCTAACCTTGACTTTCCAATGAAGTCTTCTCTTGTTAATCTAGCTTGTAGTAGTCTTCTCTTGAGCATTTACACTTGAGAAAATATCAGGTGGTTGTTGTTGTTGTTGTTAGGTGCTATTGAGTCGTTTGTGACCCAAAGCAATGCTGTATACAACAGCCCTGAAACTTGCTCTATTCTGTGCCAACTTTACTGCCTCTTACACACCTACCCCCATCTTCCCAGTCACTGAATCGATCCATCTCATCAAGGGTCTCCCTCTCTTGCACTGTCCCTCATGACATCCATCTCCAAGGACTGGACCTTCCTTGCAACATGTCCAAAGTTTGTCAGACGAAGCCTCAGAATCTTTGCCTCCAAAGAGCGGCCTGGTTTCACCCTCTCTAGGATGAGCCTCTTTGTTCTCCTTGCAGTCCATGGTATACTCAATACTCTTCTCCAGTGCCTCAGATCAAAGGCATCAATTCTCCTTCTATCTTCCCTACTCATTGTCCAGCTCTCTGATGCATAGCAAGTAGTAGTGAAGACTATGGCCTGGATCAGGCACACAGACTGACATCTCCAGACTGCCGTTCCTCTTCAGTCTTCTGGAAAGGTCCCTGACAGCAGACATTCTCAATGCAATTCGTCTTGTCATTCCCTGGCTGCTGGTACCTAGAGTGTTGATTGTGGAGCCAAGCAAACTAAAGCTATTAATTATCTCAATCTCTTCACCATCTATTATTATGCTGCCAATCTACCCAGTGGTAAGAATCTTTGTCTTCTTGATATTAAGCTTCAATCCATATTGAAGACTGTGGTACTTGACTTTCTGCAGCAAGTGATTCAGGTCCTTCTCAGTTTCAAGCAGGATTGTGTCATCTGCATAATGCAGATTGTTGATGAATTTTCCTCTAATCCTGATGCCACATTCCTTCCCATAGAGCCCAGCCTCCTGGATGATCTGCTTTTAGATTGAAAAGGTATGAAGATAGGACACATCCCTGACATATACCCTTCCTGATTTTGAACCATGCAGTGTCTCCTTGCTCTGTTCTAACAACTGCCTATTGGTCAAAATATAGGGTTCTTATAAAGCACAATCAAATGTCCTGGGATTCCCATTTTTCTCAGAGTTTGTAGCACATCAGACAGTTTTATTTAATTATATCTTCCATTAGTTATAAGACTTGTTATTTGTAAGACTTGATTATAAGGAATTTGAGCCCACAGACATACCTGAGATAGTCTATCATGTTGAGCACAGCCTGTAGATTTACATCCTAAGATTATCTACAAGGATACGTCAATGTGTATTTTTCTAAAAGTATCATATACTATTGTTGTTAAGTGCCGTTGAGTCGCAGGCAACTTGTAGCGACCCTATGAAGGAGAGTCCTTGACGTTTGGGTGCCTTTCATCCTCTCTCCAAGTTCATAGGGTTTCTGGAGGCAGGCTATTATGAAAGTGGATGCCACTCCTCCTTCCGCGCTTGTTCAATCGGGGAGCTCCACCCCACTCTCAGTCCGCATTGGGTAGCCAACCATTAATGCATTTGACACAAACGTGTCACAGTGTTCAGCCTCACAGCAACCACAAGTGACCGCGGGACAGCAACTTGTACACCAGGGCTATCAAAATTGTGTTGTGTGTTCTTTGGCTCTTGCTGAAGACACTTGGTATAAATGACATGCAATGCTTGAGTTTTATTTGGTGACATATGATTTATAAATAGCCTGGAGTAAGTTTAGGGACATCTGGTGGCGGAGGCCGAAGGGAGTTGCACTGCTAACCCCTTGGCAGTTCCTCACTGGCAGTTTGAATCCTCCAAGGACTCTCAGTGAGAAAGAAGGGCCGTCTCCCGTGCAGCAGCCTCGGATAACCCACTGGAGGGTCAGCTATGAGTTGTTTCCGACTTCACAGCAATCAGTTTTTTGGTTTTTTGGTTTTTTTTTTTTTGAGGAATGAGTTTACCATTGTTGAACATGTCAAACTTAAGGGCATTTCTTTTACTTTCTGTGCAATACTTTCTGGAAAGAATGAGCAGAAAATAATTTAAGGATGAATATATGGCTAGTGCCATATATTTCAAGGCTGTGTGCCTCAGTAAGAGTATTACTAACATCTTTCAAAAGTCTCGCAGGAAATACCTACCTTCTGAGATGTTGTACAAAATGGCACTGGCTCCAGGCTGTAATATGCAGCTCTCCAGTGTGGGGCAGTGAATGTGGAGGCAGTTGACATTGTCATGGATGGGATCGTGGAAGAAGACGGCCAGGTTACAGGACACTGAGGGAACAGACAGAGTGCATCTGCAGATGGTCTTGATTTTCACCTAAGTTTTGAGTATTTCTTTCAGGACACTGGATTAACTTGAGTGTGTTGTAAGGTTCAGAGAGTTTGCAGAACATTACACATTACGGTCACTGTGTTCTGTGAACTGAGAAAAATACCTCTGAAAACAAAATCCTGATTTTTCTCCAGTAATCTGTCATATAATCCGTTCCACATAGGATTACCTGAAATCATTATTTGTTAATCTGAGTGAAAACTTCAGTTTACTACAAAAACTTTTGGTTATTTATATATCAGGTTTCTCAGTGCACTGCTTTCTCAGAATGCTAAGAGTCACCAGAGAAAAAGCAGAAAACTAAAAGGACAAAAACTGTACCAGAAGAAGTAATTACAGGAAGGGTGAAAACAATAATGAGTACATTCCGGGTGAGGCCCCTTGACCCTGAGCACAGAGGTGCACTAGCTTCACACAACTAAACATCAGAAGAAAACCCTAATATGCGCCCTGTGAGGAGCAAGGGTAGACAGATGAGGGTGTTAGCATGTGGATTCTGATACTGGAGGGGGCACATCAGCCGCTCATGCTCTCTTCCCTTTTCTAAGAAACTATGTGCCTTCAATCATATGGTGTTATTTCTGGAAAATCTTCAGTAAGATTTGTTGGATGTAAATCTTTAGTTTATGTCCATAAAGCGCAGCACAGACTTTCCTCCCACTGCAGTGCAGTGGAGACCATGTGATGTGAAACACCCATTGGCCAGAAGGTATCGATTTCGCTAATAAAATAAGATTAGAGAGACAGTGTATGGTTACCAGACCTCAGAGCATGCCAAAAGCTGCCGTGGAATTGCTGTTGGCAGAGCCTATGCTGCTGCCGTGCATGGTTAACTATGGGGGTTACATTTCTCCCAGTACTTCTGGGACACCCGATGTTTCTGTACTTTTCATTTTTCCAGAAGTAGAGACTAGTTGATTGTTAATCCACTATTACTGTGTGCTGTTGAGTGGATTCCAACTCCTTGCAGCCTTACAGAAGAGAACTGCCCATATGGCTTCCCAGGCTGCAGTATTTTACAGCACGATGTCCTCCAGGAATCAGTCCCTCCTGATCCTATGTCTGAAGGACGTGAGATGAAGGCTTACTGTCTTTGATTTCAAGGAGCATTCAGACTCTTGTTCTTGCAAGACAGATTTGTTTGTTCTTCTGGCAGTTCATGGTGTACAGATAGTCCCAAGGTTATGAACATCCAACTTACAGACATCTCTCACTCTTTGATGTTAGATCAATGATTACTGCCATTTGCTGCACATGCAACTTTTAAATCACTGAAGTCTTCAAGCCTTTTCTTGTACTAAAACAACCAAAAAGCCCATTACCATTGAGTCACTTCTCACTCTTTGTGACTCCCTAGGACAGAGTAGAACTGCTCCTTAGGATTTTCCAGGTTGAGAATCTTTTTCGCCACATCATCCTCCCACCGAGGAACATTCAAACAGATGACCTTTTAAAGTTAGCAGCCAAGAACTGTAATCACGACACCATCAGGGCTTCTCTTGTCCTAGTCCACTAACCTGAGCCCACTGTGATCTAGTTCATTCCAACACAGTGATGCTTTAGGACAGAGTAGAACTGCCCCATGGGGGCAGCTTTTTTGTGGGGTGGGGTTGGGGGCAATGCTGTAAATCTTTAGGAAAGCAAATGGTCTCATCTTTCCCCTGAGGATCAGCTACTGTGTTCAAACCACCAACCTTCTGGTTAGCTGCCAAAATGCCTTAGGCCTAACGCACAGAGCCACCAGCACGCTGCCTGTTCCTGGCCCACCCACGTACTCACTCATCCAGTGGAGTCCAGGTCATAGCAATCTTCTATGGAAAGATTCTGGGTGGTCATCTGTAGCAGGAGACTGCCCGTCTTTCTCCCATGAATCAGCCAGAGGAGACAAACTACCTGGCCTTTTTTTTTTATTAACAGTTTGCCCTAAAGTAAGGCTAAGTAAGATCTATCCACCTGTTCTGATCTACCGACAAATAGTCTGTTTAGACTGTAGGTAGCTCCAATTTGCATCCCAGAAATCATGTGTGTATAATGGATATGAAGCATTGACAGTTAAAATGTAGTCAGCCACAGACATTCGGGGGGGGGGGCGAGAAGAAGAATGAACTGGGGAGGAGGGTAGAGAAAACAGTGCAACAATGAATGAATGAGAACCCCAAATCTCTGTAAATGTTCATTAAAACTAATAAAATTTAATAATAATTAAAAAAAATGTAGTCAGCCATGAAAAGAAAGTGTGAAAGTAAAGAAAGTGCAAAAATTCTTTTAAATAGTTGTGTTCCCTTCATTTCCAAATCACTTTAAAATCCTGGAATAACTAGAACAATAAATGACAGGCTTTATACAATTGTAATCTAGTATTTGGCAACAATGAAATATTTTCCCTAATGGTAGGCCTAAATCAATGGACTTGGGGGGGGGGGAGCGGGAGTCTATTTGAATATTTTGGATTTTTTTTTCTTTCTTTCTCTATTTTTTTTTTAACTTCCTTCACCTCACATTCTCACTTCCTGACCATTACATCTCATATTTGGTCCACCAAGCAAGTACATTTCAAAAAAACTGATGAAATACCATTATCACTAAAAGGTACTTTGAAAGGAAATTATTATAAACATTTCTGAAAACACATGTTTGAGGACTTTGATGCTAAATTGTTAATTAGTTCTAAATGGTTTAACATTTTGCTGGAGGGATAAAAAAAAACTTCTGTTATTTATAGGTTCCATATCACTCTGGGTCATTACTAAATTTGTAAACAACTTATTCAGCCCTGAACTGCATGATATTATCAGTGCAGTCAGAGTCTGAATTTTCTGTCTTGATTTCTCTCCCTGATCTTGCTCATGGCTTCCTCCCTCCTCATCCTAGAAGAGTTTGGCTGCTCACTGACTTTCTGCTTAGGATTCCTTTCTTATGAAAGGACGAAGTTTCATCCTTGGAAGTTCCCCCTTATTTCTGCAGGAGTAACATCAGTACTTACCATCTTTCCTAAGGCAGCAGCTCCGACTGCATTTCTGGCCATTGCTTTCAGAATAATACTTCAGGAACTGAGCTCCCAACTTCTGAGACTCCTCCAAGTCCACCTGGAGACCTGGATAGCGATGGATCCAGCAGTCTCTGTAAAAAATCATGGGTGAGCAGAGAGAGTCTGATGACCACCCCATACTCAGGAGCAGTATCACATCTGCGGTCACCACTGAGACGTGCATTTCCCTGGTTTGAAGCCTTAGCAACTAAGTCTGATTTCCCAACAGAAGGTGAAGTTCCAGCAGGAGGTAGGACAATCACAGGAATGTTAAGGCTTTTGTTAAGACAAAGCTTGCTTGTGATTCTTCAGAGGGTCACCTTCTAGAAAAATGAAGTCATTCTTGGATTACATATTGATTTTCTTCTTGTGTTTATTTCAAATGAGCCAATGTTTGACTTTCTAGTGTCTTTTCAGAACACTTTCCAGGTTGTTTCAATACTTTTATCTCTTGGTCTCTTGAAGAAGTAGCTTCTCTCCTCTACTTTTCTTTTTCTCTGAAGGTGAATAGTCACAGACAGCTTTCACTATGTAAATAAAAAAACAAATAGAAATCCTAGTCAACATTCTTTCTGAGGAAAACAATCATTTAGTCACTTAAGCATCAGATAAAGAGATCTATTTCACCAGAAAAAAGACATCAAGTTGTGAGGAACTTCTCAATGACTTTAAGGAACTTGTGACTGAAGATTTTTGTCCAATCATTTCTCTTTTTTTACCTTTGAATTTAAGTTACAGTATTCAGTTTCATTAGAAAACTAGTTTGTAGTTTAAACTTTTGGACACCAGTTTAAACTTTTTAAAAGTTTTGTTTAAAAAAAGAAATAAATCAAAAGTTGAGAATAAGTGAAAGCTAAAAATGAAGTAAAATTTTAAAATCTTAACTTTACAGCGATTGCACCAACATTGAAATGAGATCCTGCTCATTTGAATTAAATGGAGCCATTTAAACTTTTTTCGTTTTTTTAAATTTATTATTAATTTCAGTGAAAATTTACAGAGACTTTGGATTTCCATTCATTCATTGTTGCACTTTTCTCCCCTCGCAAACCTCCCCCTTAGTACACTAACTACCCTCTTGGAAAAGTCAAAGAAAAATTCTTTCATTCTTTTATAATCCCTCTCCCCAGGTCCATTCCACTATACAGCCTTTGTTCGGGACTCCTGTCATGACAAAAATACCTAATCACATATTCCTTTTAAACAGTTTTCTCCCTCATCTGTTTCAATGCAGTATACATTATTGAACCCATCTTTCTTAGTCTCTCCCCAACCACAAGGTCAGTCCTGTTTTACAACAGTGGCACCATGCAGTATTTGTCCTTTTGTGACTGAGGTACTTTACTCTGCATAATGTCCTCCAGGATCACCCATTTTGAATAATATTACATGAGTTCCTTGTTTTTCAATGCAG